CTATCTATTTATCTATTGTCTATCTATCTATCTATCGTCTATCTATCTATCTATCTATCTATCGTCTATCTATCTGTCTATCTGTGTCTCTCTTTCTATCTATCGTCTATCTATCTATCAATCTATCTATCGTCTCTGTCTGTCTGTCTGTCTATCTATCTATCTGTCTGTCTGTCTCTGTCTGTCTGTCTGTCTGTCTGTCTATCTATCTATCTATATATCTTTCTGTATATTTGTCTATCTATCTATCTATATCTATCTATCTATCGTCTGTCTGTCTGTCTATCTATCTGTCTGTCTCTCTTTCTATCTATCTATCGTCTATCTATCTATCTATCTGTCTGTTTCTCTTTCTATCTATTGTCTATCTATCTATCAATCTATCTATCGTCTCTGTCTGTCTGTCTATCTATCTGTCTATCTATCTATCTATCTATCTGTCTGTCTGTCTGTCTATCTATCTATCTATCGTCTATCTGTCTGTCTATCTATCTATCTATTATCTGACTTATCAACTTTTTAACTTTGAAACTACCTTTCCATTTAGCTATTCAGTTTTCATTAAAACCTCCCAATGCATGTTAAAATAATACATCGTTTGATTAGCCTACTTCTTCAGGTACTAGTTATCTGGTCCCGTGCACATTCCTGTAATATGTCCAAGGATTTGGGAAAGATCATCCATGTCACTTCCAAGGCTGCATCCTGTGCAGTGGATCACGTTCATGACGGTAGTAGAGGCGGAGTGTAGGGTCAAAGTTTTTCCACAGAATTTGGATTATTGCTCCTAAAAACTGCGAACAAATGCTGCGTTAGCCGTTAGCAACATTGTTTCAGCAACAAAACAGGTAAATACTCATTTTGCATCGTTTTAACTTTTCGTTCCTTTTAAACTGAGCGCGCATTAAATAGATCTACTGAATAACCTGAAAAATGTAAATGTTACTGTCGTATTCATGTGAAATTAGAATTAAAGTGTCCAGATTACCTTAAAGTCAATAAAGTCTTACATTTACTCGTTCGATATTCGTAAAAGTGTGTGTAAATTCGCTGACTTAAATGTTCAAATGTTGCAGGAAATCACGAGTTAAGCTCAGGTCACAGATGAAGAGTCAGTGTTTTATGAAGCATGTAGACAAGTGTCACACTATAGACAGAAAAAAACCGCTTTATACTGGCATATTTTGTAGTGAGATCTGCTGCACTGTTGTATAAATTGTTTGGCGTTGTTTCTTAACATATCTCCGTTGAGGATTTTTATTTTTTTTGTAGATAGTGACATGCAAGACTTTTTATACAAGGTAAAAATGGGGAAATTACGCCGTTTAAAGTGTCGATAGTGTGACTATATTGAACTGTCTTTTCATACAACATATTCTAGATTTGATTAACCTACATGTGTTTTTGCCTCTTAATTATTTTCTATAATTTCAGTATCATCAAGTTTATGTAATTGCTGTTGAGTAACAAGCACAATAAAACAAGAGCCAGACAAGAATCAAATATAGCCTACAAACTAAATATTTTAACTATTGCGTTGTTCCCAGGATTTATTTATTTATCAGGTTGTGACAAGTTAACTCTTATGTTTTAATGTTATTTATTTAGAATTTATGATTATACCGTTTTGACTGTTTCATTAACTGTTTTGTTTAATACTGTTCAACACCGCGTTTTAATGTTTAAATCTTGAAAATGAAGCCTGTAATTGGATCTTTAATAGCTGGTACCATATGAAAACAATAGCTTATGCCTGCTATTGGTCAGTGAACTGTATGTTTCTTGTTATAGTGTTATCGTTAAATGATATATATTTTTGGAACAAGATTGTAGGGCACGTGTCTATACATAAATTTACTTTAATAAATGCCCTGAGAAAATAATATTCACTTGAGTGTGACAACTAGTCTCACCTACATTTGGTTCAAGCTGTCTTCAAGATGAAATTTCGCCATAATTTAAGACATTTACATTTACATTACATTTAGTCATTTAGCAGACGCTTTTATCCAAAGCGTTATTTTTTTTTTTATGATGAAGTCAAGTAGCTTCGAAAGAGATGGGTTTTCAGCTGTCGCTTGAAAATTGTCAAGCGACAGTCACAAATTTGAATATTGAATGTATGATTCAAATACAAATTAAAAATTATTAATTTTATTAACTCATGTGACCCCCGAGAAAAATGTCCCGTTTTCTGAGGCATTTCACAGCGGTGGGTGATGAGCAAAACACCGCCACACAGTGGCACGACGAGGAACCGCACGATTTCAGTGAAGACCTGGAGCTGGCCAAAGGACAGCACCTGGGACAGGTCAGCTTCAGGGACTCCCTACGCCGCCTCTACAGTACAGAGAGGTTCCAGGTAAACGTTTGCACTCTTTATTTGTATATGTATATAGATATAGAATGTTGTTTACATGATTGAAAATAACCGTGAACTGTTATTTTGTTGATTAGATTGTTGTTGTTTGCTTGGTCGTCTTGGATGCCATTTTCGTTCTGTGCGAGTTGCTTATTGACTTGTCTATCATTCAAGCAGATCATCACAGAATCGCTCCGCAGGTGAGTCTGCTTCAGATACCTAGTCAGCAAAAAAACATGCATGTCATATTTCTGTTGACACATTATGTCAGCGATTATTCTGTGGTTATCCTCTATCCGAATGTTCCTGCCATTATTCCAGGTATTCCACTATCTCAGCCTCGCCCTTCTCACATTCTTCATGGTGGAACTGTCTGGAAAAATCTATGCATATCGTTTAGAATTCCTCCACCATAAGTTTGAGGTGTTTGATGGGATTGTGGTGGTGGTATCCTTCATCCTGGATATTGTATATATCTCAAAGGAAGATGCATTTGATGCCATGGGGCTTCTGATCTTGCTCAGGTTGTGGAGAGTGGCCAGGATCATAAATGGTACGGGAATTATTTTGACCCAGCAACTACAATTAGAACTTCAATTTGGATCAGAAAAAAATATGAAAGCACTGTATACATAAATTATTTCGTGAGGGAATTAATTTTTCTTACTAAGAAACATTGCAAATGTGTAATCAAGTCAAAAACTTCAGTAAAATATAAAACTATTGATGATATTTATTAAATAAAACTTTATGTAACAATTGAAAATCATGAAAAATGTTCTGGTATGTTTAACCTACCAAACTGCTGGTGTTAGTAATGATTGTTTCACGATGCTCACAATCTAAACCTGGGGGTTCACCAAGGTTCAGTACTTGGTCCATTTTACTTAAGTAATGAATTATATGTTTATTATCACTAAAAATCTTTATCTCTATGGACAAAATTAATGTAAGTTTTACTTCTGGAACCCCGCTGTTGCATTATCCTCTAATCTCTACTCTAATACTTTTATTTGCCTTTCTTACTTGTTTGCTCTCTTATAGGTATCATTATGTCTGTGAAAAATCGTGCCCATCACAAAGTTAAGAAAATAAAGGAGATCAATGAAAACCTTGTTCATCAAGTCAATGAACTTAAAGAGCGGAACACAAAAATGGTGAGCAGCTCTTGTTAAACATGAGTAATGATTCGTTTTATTAATTATTCAATTGATAGTGGTTTTAATTTAATCTTTCAACAGGATCAAGAAAATGCAAGGCTTCGTGCAATCTTAAAACAGCACTGCATTGAATTTTGATGCTCCAAGGCTATTCATTAAACACATCACAGCATGAGACTGAGCTTAAGACTAATCATGTCTAATCATTCCATATGAAATGTGAAGAAGGTCATGTTACATTGTGTTTATTGTCACTCTAAGCCAAACTCAATCTCCATCCCCTGGCAGATCTTTAACAGCACACATAAAGGGAGATGCTTTTTAAAGCCAGTGACTCATATAGGTCAAATTACAAAAAGGAAATCTATAAACTACACAAGTTATATATACTGGAATATTAAACTTGCCTCAATAGATTGTAAGATGATTGATTTTTATTCTGAATCACTATTTTCCAAAATCATTATCAGTATTGTTGTTTTATCTATGAAGTGTACATTTAATGTTTTCTCATTATAAATGTTAATGTGTTTGAGCAACTGAAAGCTAAGAAATAAATATTATTTTATAAATGAGATATGAAATATTAATAGACCAACATATCTGCCTGGCTGATGAATTGGCTTATTAAGAGTAGTGGCATTTCGCTTATGTAACAGTTCCAAAATGAACAACAGATTTTACAATGGATAGCGCACATTTTCTGTTCTTAAATGTTTTAGTGAGTTTTGAGTAAATATTATAAAAAATTGTTCATTCCTCATTTTGTGCATGTCTTTGTACTGAAATTGAATTACACTATATACATACATATATACATATACTGTATATACCACTATTGTTCCACATCAGTCCACTAATATGAAAATATTCTTTATTTTTAAAAATGTGAATCGGTGCATTATATACAAAATGACTAGAAAATAAATATACACTATAACTTCAAGAAAGACAAAATTTTCAAAGAAACATGGTTATAGAAACAGTGGTCCTCCTTTCATGTTGTTCCATTGAAATATGAAATATGAATGGAATTAAATATTCCATTATACAAATGGAAAGAAAAAGTCAAAGGGTAGTTTAGCATCAATTGTAGGAGGAGCTTTGAATCCTGAACTGGCAGATGCAGAGACATCAACAAAACTCACTGAGCTTGTGACAGACAGAAGACCATCGGCACTGATAAGGAGGGCCTAAAACAAAGAAAGGTTCTAGTGTTAACTTTATATCTAATTTCACATGAAATCGGCAATGACTTTATGAAAGACCTAAAATTGAAGGTAATACTGAGCCATGCTTTTGTAGTAGAGAAGTAAAGCAGTGTGATACACTCCCATTAAGTTGAATGTGTTAAAAACACTTTATGGGCATCCACTGTATGTTGATCTTCTAGACAATTTTAACTGTGATAAGAGAAACGAGTTTGTGTTTACCAAATACAACTATTACATAATTGCTGAAAGTCATGAACAATGTTCTGGAATGTTTAACTTGCCAAACTGCTGGTGTTAGTAATGATTGTCTCCATGACGCTCACAATCTGAGCCTGGGGGTTCACCAAGGTTCCGTACTTGGTCCATTTTACTTCAAGATGGTAAGACAGTGGTATGCTGCAAGCCTGTGTACCCTTGGTAAACCATAAAAAGAGTGAAGCAAGACATTCGTTATAAATAAATATAACAAACAGTGGTTTACAAATCAGCTTTGCATCATCATGGTGAGAAGAGAAGTTAGAGGAAATGTTGACATGTAAACTTGGCTAACGGTAGCCAAGTTTACATGTCAACATTTCCTCTAACTTCTCTTTCACTTCAGCACCAGTTCTCCATGCCACACATAGAGGAAAATAATAATAAGTAGGCTGTTTACCAATGCTATGGTTTGGTTCTGTATTGTAACCCAGTCCAGGGGGTTTTGAGGCAAGGAATTCCCAAATGAAGCTACATGGTCCGGAAAGCTCTGGCCTTTTAGTGCCCACAAAATGACTTCAGATACCAGAGAACAATTAACTCCATCGGACAACCTACAGAAAGGGAGGACATTAATGCACATAAAATAGTAATGGTGATGAATATTACACTTGATTGTTGTTGGACAATACTTGTCTAATTCACGAAAACAAATCATTACAATAGTCTCTTACTTCAGAGTGCAGCCTGATACCATGTCAATCCCAAACAGGACAGGGGAGCGCCGAGATGACCCAGACAAGCAATCCTGATCTCCAGAGTTTTGAAGGATAGTGAGTGATCCTGTTGGGTTAGCGGACTGAACTATCCCAGTAAAACGGGTCAAGGACTGTGCCACATAGGTGGATGCTTTGATCGACAACAGGCTTTGCATTTATTTATTAAAATCTATTATGGAAATGAAAAACTAGCACACTTATGAAATAATCTTAAAACCTTTATATGGGATCAAAATTAATGTTGCTAAGAGTTATCTTTATTTTCTTTTAGGTGCAGAATTTTTGTAATTTGTATGAATACTTTTCATGATGATATTACTGACATTAATTATTAACATGTTGCCATATACACAACATATGGGGTATTTTTAGAAACCTTAGACAATATTAATAATTAATATTTGAAATTCCACCAATACACATATTATTATTAACTTGGACCCATTTACTGAATACAATTAAAAGATTCAAATTTTGATTAGTTTTAAAAATATCCGAAACATTGTGGTGGATTTTTGGAGCTGTATGGCAAAATAAAATTTGCTTTGATGTTTTTGTTAATTGTTTTAGTTGCCCTGAACTTAGTTGAGGAAAATATGTCTAAACAGGAAAAAAATGTGTTGTACATATCAGGGAATAAATGATTGATGTTCCGTGCTAATGAAAAATTAATGATATAATTGTTTATGTTTCATCACAAAGGAGACATCTGTCCAGAGTTTATGATAAAGGATATTCTGCTGTTCTTGTCCCAGCCACTAGGGGCCGTCCCACCACATAGCCAGGATTGCCACTAAATTGCAACACTGGCGTGCTAGAGATGTCCTGTCAATGGATGTACACAAAACTATTACTTCCTGTTTGTAAAATAAAATAAATGTAAAATATTTGACAATATTTAAAAAAAAGAATACATTTGAAATAATTACAATTCTTTCAAGAAAATATGAAAAGGGTAGAATTAAATACCTGCAAGAATGTAATCTGAAACTCTTGCTGAATGGGCACCGTAATGCTTTTAATGGCTCCCAGCAAAACTGATGCTATCGCATTCAGGATTTCCCCAGCTTCACTGAATCTGAAAGTGTACTTCACCTGATGTAAAAGTTATGATTTTGTTAAACAGTTTATGATTCCTGATACTTTTCATATTCCCGTACTGTACCTGTACCTGACTAGTAACATATTCATTATATGCACACCTGCAGTACAACGTTGTTGCAGACGTCACCAGACTCCAGAAGCACAGGAATATAAGACTCAAGGTCAGCTGGGTCCACTGGTGTCTGTGTGCCCTCTAAAGACTGCAGAGTAATGGCTGCCACCTCCACACCAATGACCTCAGGTATCAAACAGAAAGCAATGAAGCATGTCAAATTAATATGCCGAGTCAATGTTTTTAATGCAAATAGTACATCATTGAAACTTACTTTAGCTTCCTGGATCTTCCCCTAGAGACAAAACAAGAGTTGTTAAATAGCATAGCAACAATAAAACTCTTTACAAACTGAGATGTAGTGAAGAACTCACAGAACGGATGCTGAAATTAATATAAGTTTCCAAGCGCAGAGTTTCTAGTGTTTCACAATCTTGCACTAAATCAAAGCTCCTCATACATCTGCTTGTCTGGTCCTTCAGAAAACCTGTAAAACAGCAGGGTAAGCTATGCTTAGCAACAGACTAGAACATCTAGTGCATGTGGTTCATGTGGCATGTGGTTGTGTTCACTGCTGTGTGTGTGCACTTTGGATGGGATAAATGCAGAGCACTAATTCCGAGTATGGGTCACCATACTTGGCCACATGTCACTTTTCACTTTCAATGCCAACAGGAAAGGATCACTAAAACTCTAACCCTACACATCACACTGCTGCAGATACAAATGTGACCTCAAACCATGAATCTTGTTGTTGCTATTAAAATGGGTCAACAATTCAACTAGCATTGTGGCCGCAACTGTTTGGACATGCAGCACTAACATTTTCTTCAGAATAAGTTCTGTCTTACCAGCAGGGTTTCCGTCTAAGCAGTGAGCTGTTCCTGCAGAGGCAGGAAAGGTGAAGAATTCCTGCTCTTCAGCCTCATTCACTGTTTGAATGACTTCTCCATACTGAAGACAGAACAGAGACAGACACATTGCTTAACCTTATGAAACCTACTGTATCATATTTTGACCTCTAAATTATCAACTTGATCAAAGGTTTACCTGATTATCCATACATCATTTTTTTGAAAAATCATGTTGAAATGCGAGTATCAAATATGATCCATTAGGATCTCAGTCTTCATTATATTGCATTGCATTATATGTTTTGCCCCACAATAAAAAAATAGAGTTTTGATCATAAAACAGATCATTCAAATAGCATATTACTAAGGCATATTATTGGTAGAAATATATATCCAGCTGGTATTTTGTTATAAAGATCTCATTGATTTACAAGCTATTATAACTTCTCAATTTTTCACCATATAAACATCAGCAACTGTATGAAATTGCTAATTTTTACACATTTTTATGCCTCTGAATAAAACTAGGATGTTTTTTCACCTCAAGTTTGAGCTCCACATTCTCATTATAAGCCATAAAAGCTTGAAAACTATTTTTAGATTGTCTTCAATAAACTGTTCCATAGAAGAAAAAAAAAATTCAATTTTTGGACTACTGTTTTATGTCATATGCTTTCGAGGGTTAAACAGTGGTAACAAAGGTGATTCAAATAGCGTTTTCAGGGGAAAATTAATACAATACATTGATACAAATGTGATGTTAAATGGGAAATGGATGTACAGCAATCCAATTACGCTTTCCACTTCTGCAGAAAAACATCCATCCTGACATCTTAGAAATCAATATGTTCTTTGATAAAAGGAAAACATTGACAGAGAGAGCAAAATATTAAATCAGTACAAGCACTGAGGGGTTACAATCATATTAAATCTAACTCAGCGCTGTTTCCTATGAAACCTGATGCTAATATAAGTGTCAGAACAAACTCATACAGATTATAATTGGACATGGTACTCTATGCCGCAGAAGAAAGAAAGTCACACAGTCATTTTCATTAACTATCAAATATTCAAAAACTTTACCTGGTATCCTGATGAATTTCCTACATCAGGGCTTTGAAGTGCACTGGTCACTCTCGAACGGCCAAAGAATCCCAAAACTCGACCAAAAAGGGAGTCAAAATTCTCCTCAGTGGGAACTTCTGGTGTAGCAAATGTTGAACCTTGTTCATCTAAAAAGGAACCAAGGATAGATTTTAAACTGATTGAAAACATTTGCTTGTAAATACAGCCTGTCTGAATAAGGCTAGCAGGGTTCACAGCTTGATCATGAATTAATATATATCATAAATGCATTTTAAAAGGTTGTATAAAGAATAAAGGGTGTATAAGAGCTTAATAATTAAATTAAAAACTCTAAAGACTTCAAAATGCCATAAAATGATTCGCATACAGTTAGCAGACTGAATACAGAAGACATCCGGGTTGACGTCTCGCTGGACAGTGGACTGGACACTAGATAAAGCCTCTTGTGTAGAGCTCAGGGTATGCACAGCTGAATCCTGGTTGCACAGTCTGGGGTCATTACTGAAAAGACAGTGGAACACATCAGGATTTCATTTTAATCACTGTCAGTA